CGCTCCCCTGTTCGGGTCACCGGCCGGGCACCACCCGGACGAGCCCCGGCCAGCCATCACCCTAATCGTTCCAGAAGGAGGGGCCGTCAGAGCTGCAGCTCATCAGGGTCAATCAGAAAGGGCGCCCGCACGGAAAGCTCCCCTGCACGCCGAAGCGGCTCACGGATAACATCCGGGACTCGAAGTCTACCTGGAAACGTTCAGGCTCCTCCTCCAACTCCTCCTCGAACTGGCGCTCAGAGGCGCCACCATTCGGAAAGAGCCCAAGCCATGCGCAGCTCGGCCTCCGGCACCTCGAGGGCAGCAGCCTCCTCATGCGACTCGAGAACGCTAGAGGGCGCCGCTTCCGGAAGCCCGCGCGCTGCTTCCGGGGTCTCACACGCAGACTTGGACGCAGAGAAGCCAGAGACTTTTGCTTCCGGCTGCTGCAGGCGCTTCGCTGGTGCAGGTAAGCTCCGCGCACTCCCCGCTGGTCCCAAGGCCGCCTCCCTCAAGGGTGGCGCGAGCTCTGCCCTTTAACCGGAAACGTCTCCCTGCTCACCCCGCCCCCGCGCAGACGCAGTGCTGAGCCCATAGCTGCCGAACAAAGAGTGACGCCCGGAGCCAGAGTTATGGCGGCTACGGAGCCGATCCTGGCGGCCACTGGGAGTCCCGCGGCGGTGCCACCGGAGAAATCGGAAGGAGCCTGTTCGAGCTCAGACCGTGAGCGTAACTCTGTGGGCTCCTTGGTGCCAGAGGCCTCACCGCCTGCCCCCGCGCCTTCCAGCCCCAACGCCGCGGTCCCCGAGGCCATCCCTACGCCCCAGGCTGCGGTCTCTGCAGCCCCGGAGCTGCCCCTTGGGCCTGCACCCATGAGCATCGCGCCTCAGGCCGAAGGCGAAGCGCGCTTCCCACCAGGCCCCGCCGGCTCTAGACCCGGCCCCGAGACGTTCCGCCAGCGTTTCCGGCAGTTCCGCTACCAGGACGCGGCTGGTCCCCGGGAGGCGTTCCGGCAGCTGCGGGAGCTCTCCCGCCAGTGGCTGCGGCCTGACATCCGCACCAAGGAGCAGATTGTGGAGATGCTGGTGCAAGAGCAGCTGCTTGCCATCCTGCCCGAGGCGACGCGGGCCCGGCGGATCCGCCGCCGCACGGATGTGCGCATCACTGGTTGAGCGGTGGAGCTAGGGGCGGCCAGGGCCGGGTGCCCTGTGTGGACTGGGGCCATGGTCCGGTCCGGGGGCCTGAACCTAGGACCGCACCCCGTGTTAATGAAAAACGAGTTTTGGCAGCGCCTTTGGTCTGGTGTGTCTCTTTCATTCGTTTTTTATTGGGTTTATTTTACCGAGCCTGTTTCCCACCGCACTTCTGGCTAGTGGCGAAACGAAGTTGGGAGTACATAAGAATAAGGCCTTCGTTGGCTATTGTGGGATCTAAAGATCCCACAATATTGACAGAACCTGGGTCATCCCTCTACCACATATGGGAAGTTTTCCATCTGGGGTCCTAAGGACCCATTTGGGTTTCTTCCACGTGGAATAGCTGGCTCTATTAAATGCTCACTTAACTAGCTACCTCTATACCAATGTGGGCATCGACTTGCACCTGCCCTTTGGAGTACAGGCTTCCCAAAAGGTCCAAGTTATTGGGTCATTTTAATGTGAAGTGTTCACTGCACACCCTTACAGACACAGACTAGTTCTTGTGATTTCTGGCTTATGCCGCCAGACTTGATCACCTTCCTTGCCAAATATTAGGCCTGTGGTAGGAGTTAAGCAGAACTAGTGTGGACTAATGGATTATTTACATTACTGAAGCTACTCATTTTAATGTCTCTTCAACTGGCTCTCTTTGGTTCGTTTTTGTTTTTGAGACGGAGTCTCGCTCTATCGCCCAGGCTGGAGTGCAGTGGCCCGCTCTCCGCTCACCGCAACCTCCGCCTCCCGGGTTCAAACGATTTTCCTGCCTCAGCCTCCCGAGTAGCTGGGATTACAGGCACGCCCACCATACCCAGCTACTTTTTGTATTTTTAGTACAGACGGGGTTTCACCATGTTGGTCAGGCTGGTCTCGAACTCCTGACCTCGTGATCCGCCCGCCTTAGCCTCACAAAGTGCTTGTATTACAGGTGTGAGCCACCGTGCTTGGCCTTCCCTTTTGTTTTTTAAACTAGCATAATCGTTTACAAAGGGAAGGAAGAATTAGGCAAATAATGAGGATGACCTGTTCTGAAATGCTAAACGTACTGTTTCCAGAGGCTCTGCCCACCCAGGGAGGAGCTAGTTGGGGTCCATGGACCTTTGGATTGGTCCCAATTAGGTTCTATTGCAGTGAGTGACATTTGCTAATAAAAGGAAGGCCAGACCTGTCTTGCACTGCTCTCAGCAATCAATCTAAGCCTGCAGTTCACACCACAAAGCATGAGTGAGACTGGGCTGGAAGTTGGTGAGGGGTATTTTGCTTTTGAATATTAAAGACAAATTCAGAAGTATTTTTGCATACTTTGAGATTTCTTGGCAGAGTTTGCACCTGCCTCCCTGGAAAAGGCAGTTGTTTAGAAGGTAAGAACAGGCTTATTTAAAAGATAGTGTTTGAAGAAGATTAAGAATAGATGAAGAAGGCCAAACACAGTGGTTGTTGCCTGTAATCCCAGCACTTTGGGAGGCTGAGGCTGATGGGTCACTTGAGGTCAGGAGTTTGAGACCAGCCAGACCAAGGTGGTGAAACCCCATCCCTATTAAAAATACAAAATTAGCCGGGTGTAGTGGCACACACTTGTAATCCCAGCACTTTGGGAGGCCAAGGCAAACAGATCAAGAGTTCGAGACCAGCCTAACCGACAAGGTGAAACCACATCTCTGCGAAAAATACAAAATTAGTTGTGTGTGGTGGTGAACACCTGTAATCCCAGCTACTTGGGAGGCTGGGGCAGGAGAATCACACGAACTCAGGAGATGTAGGTTACAGTGAGCCGAGATCACACCACTGCACTCCAGCCTGGGCAACAAGAGTGAAACTTCTCAATAAAAAAGAATGGTGGGCCGGGCGCGGTGGCTCACGCCTGTAATCCCAGCACTTTGGGAGGCCAAGGCGGGTGGATCACGAGGTCAAGAGATCGAGACCATCCTGGTCAACATGGTGAAACCCTGTCTCTACTAAAACTACAAAAAAAAAATTAGCTGGGCATGGTGGCGCATCCCTGTAATCCCAGCTACTCAGGAGGCTGAGGCAGGAGAATTGCCTGAACCCAGGAGGCGGAGGTTGCGGTGAGCCGAGATCGCGCCATTGCACTCCAGTCTGGGCAACAAGAGCGAAACTCCATCTCAAAAAAAAAAAGAATGGTGAAGAACTTTATACAGTCATGTGTCACTTAACAATGCGGATATGCTCTGAAATACGACCCTTTAGGCAGTTTTATCATTGTGTGAGCCTCATTAGCGTGTACTTAAGCAAACTAGATGGTATAGCCTACATACACCTAGGCTTTGTGGTAGAGTCGACTGCTCTCAGGCTTCAAGCCTGTACAGCATGGTACCGTACTGAATATTACAGGCAGTTATAACAATGATATTTACATATCTATACGTAGAAAAGTTTCAGTAAAAATGTAGTATAGGCTGGGTACGGTGACTAACACCTGTAATCCCAGCACTTTGGGAGGCCGAGGCGGGCAGATCACAAGGTTAGGGGTTCGGGGCCAGCCTGGCTAACGTGGTGAAATCCCATCTCTACTAAAAATACAAAAATTAGCTGGGTGTAGTGGTGGGCATCTGTAATCCCAGCTACTCGTGAGGCTGAGGCAGGAGAATGGTTTGAACCCAGGAGTTAGAGGTTGCAGTGAGCCAAGATTGCGCCATTGCACTCTAGCTTGGGTGACAGGGCAAGATTCCTTCCCCCCACCAAAAAAAAAATATTTAATATACTATATATAGTAAAACAGTTACCTGTACCACAGATCGCGTTTGCAGGACTGGACATTGTTCTGGCTAAGTGATGAGTGAGTGTGAAGTTCTAGGATACTACTGTACGCTACTCCTGAATTTGTAAACACTGAACACAGACTACACTAAATTTTTTCTTTTTTTTTGAGACAGGATCTAACTTTGTTGTCCAGGCTGGAGTACAGTGGCACAATCTAGGTTCACCGCAACTTCTGGCTCCAAGGCTCTGGTGATCTTCCTGCCTCAGCCTCCCAAGTAACCAGGAATATGGGGCCACACCACCATGCCTAGCTACTTTTTGTAGAGGTGGGGTTTCACCGTGTTGCCCAGGCTAGTCAAAAACTACTAAACTTATTTTTTTTTCATTTCTTTCTTCAATAATAAGTTAGCCTTAGTTTATTTGTTTTTTGGTTTTTTGACACAGAGTTTCACTCTGTTGCCCAGGTTGAAGTGGGCAATCTTGGTTCACTGCAACCTCCACCTCCCAGGTTCAAGCGATTCTCCTGCCTTAGCCACCCAAGTAGCTGGAACTACAGGCATGCACCACAATGCTAATTTTTGTATTTTTAGTATGGGGTTTTGCCATGTAGGCCAGGCTGGTCTCGAGCTCTTGACCTCAGGTGATCTGCCTGCCTTGGCTTCCCAAAGTGCTGAGATTATAGCACCTGGCCCCTTATTTAGAGACAGGGTTTCCAGCCTCAGCCTCCTCAAGTACTAGGATTATAGGTTTGAGGTACCCTGCCAGACCAACTTTTTTATTTTTTAAGCTTTTTAATTTTAATTCTGACTTTCATGATAACACTTTGTGTTTACACACATGGTAGAGCTATACAAATATATTTTCTTTATATTCTTATTGTATGAGGTTTTTTCTACTTTAATTTTTATATTTTACTTTTTAAATTTTTGTTAAAAGCTAAGACAAGTCCACACATTAGCCTAGGCCTATACAGTAGGACCATCAGGACACTACTAAGTGATCGGAATTTTTCAGCTTCATTATAATCTTATGGGACCACCCTGTACATAGGGTCCATGGTTGACAGAAACGTTATATGGTGCATGATTGTAACTCAATAATATGTAACTGAAACATAGCAACAAGAACCTGTTTTATTTTTTCCAAATACAGATACAGAAGTTTGCATGTTTTGCAAATATTGCTTCAAAGCACACTTCTATATACAGCGCCTTCTGTTCTAATAGCGCGTAAACATAGATATGTATCCACAGTGCAATGTTGGCTCATCAAGGATCCACCTTGCATACACTTACCACTTAAAGAACAAAATGATTAGTCAAACCGGAACTATTTTTGTCAAGGTAATTCTTTATAGGTGGATAGTTTTTCTCAAAAGACAAAACTTAGGTAGTGCACATATTTCTTTTTTTTTCTTTTTTCTTTTTTTTTTTTCTGAGACAGAGTCTTGCTGTTGTCACCCAGGCTAGAGTGCAGTGGTGTGATCTTGGCTCATTGCAACTTCCGCCTCTGGGTTCCAGCAATTCTGCCTCAGCCTCCCGAGTAGCTGAGATTACAGGCGACTGCCACCATGCCCAGCTAATTTTTGTATTTTTAGTAGAGACGGGGTTTCACCATGTTGGACAGGCTGGTCTTGGACTCCTGACCTCAGGTGATCCGCCTGCCTCGGCCTCCCAAAGTGCTGGGATTACAGGTGTAAGCCATTGCGCCCGGCCGGTAGTGCACATATTTCTAAATTGTAACAGCAATGTTTGCAAATAACGGTTTCCAGTGCTCCAACTTAGGGTTAATTCACCTTGACCTAGGAATTGGTAATGGAGCCCCTCAACATGGCTTTAAATTAGGGAAGCACACTGAGGTTACAAGAACTTGGGGAGACTTCTCTGCTTCCCTAAGAACAAAAGTCACAATGAGTGAAATGGGATAACTTCCTTTACTAAAAATCAAACAATAAACCCAATAATGGACAGTCGGCAAAATTAGGGTAATTCAGTTTCTGCTTCCATCTTTGAAGAAGACATGAAATTGACTACTTTAAAAGTTACAGCTTCCACAGATGTGATTAAAACTCAAATGTATTTTCAGAAAAGAAAAATCAGTAATCTAATAATGTAACAATCAATCATCACACCTCACAGTTGTGGCTACAGAAGGCCATCCTGTTTCTTCCCTTTTCAGACTGCATAACAGAATTCGTACAATGCAGCTGTCTGAACGTACATGCCGTGCACGCCTGTGCATTTCTTCCCACACAGAAACACCAACATCAGCAGTGAGAAACAGCCTCTTGTAGAGGAATCGTCAGTTTTGTTACAGACGTATAGCCACATGTATTCTCTCTGATATATAGCAGATCAGCTTATACTTGTCCTATAATTCATTATATATCAAATGGTGAACAAATCACTAGACAGAGCATTCCCTGAAATAGATCTTAGTACAGAGGCCTGAATTCATGACCACAATGACCTGTGCTTAACTATTCCAAAGGTCACTAAAGATACTGTTACTACAATTGAGATATTATTGGCTACTTCACGTTTACATAGTAAATGTTTGCAGCAATATAACATTACAGACTCATAAACCCATAATTAACTTCTAAGTGTTAATGGACAACTGTGCTTTGATTTCTGCCTTATAGTGATAAGAAAACGAAGTAGTGAAATGGGTCACTACTCAAAGCATGGAATATTTTAACTTTGCCTAGTAAGGAAAAACAAAATATAGCAATTATATGTGGAACCGTAACCTGCAAAAGTAACACAAATATTGTCTCAAAAGGTACAAATAGGTTGTACCTGGACCTTAAGCAGCATAATCACCTTGATCTCACAAAATAATACAAACAGGAAATTTTAAATGTTAAAATATAGTAACAAAACAATTCTGAAAACACTGACTACTCAACATACCCTTCAGGAAGGAGAAAAGCGGCACATATAGAATCTGAAGTTTGTTTACAACAATATAAAATAAGGTAACTCCCTAAACCACATTCTTTTAACAAATCTTTACAGTGAAAGAGTTCAAAATTTTGGGAAACATTTTTTTTTGGACATTAAATAGAATTGGGAAGCTGTCAATATTAAGAAGTGGATAGAAAATGCTGTCCTTTGGGTTCCAGACCCTGCCTGCTTCAGTTTGGAATTCTTCCTAGATTCTTATTACCGTGATATTCTAGTTCTTCCATAGGCTGTATGGACTCTGCTACAAAAGCCATAACCCAGCCAGCTCTGGGGTGAAAGCATACAAACTTGTCCCCAGTACCATGAAGTCATGCAAGAGATGTGGTGAGAAAAGTGAAGAGTCCTAAGGAGAAAGCAGGGCAGCCAAGACTCTGCTCCTTCCCAACCTCCACAGCATGGTGAGGTCACAACATTCCCATGAAGCTAGAAAAGGAAAATGATGTCTGCTGCCTAAACACCATGCCAGGCAGAAACCAGGGAGCTGGTATGTGCCCCAACCTGACAGAAAAGTCAATTAAATAAACTGCAAATTGAATTTACAACTGTCTCCAACTAAACTTTTTTGGCTCTCATTCCATTTATCATCAGTGGCACGATTTCAAGTGAAGTTTGTGCAAAAAGACTCTCTTCATTCAACGATGTGCACAGAAGAAGGGAATCCCAAGAGTCTATTTGCTACCTTTCTGGTAGGCTTCAAGATCAGAGTGTCCTCCAGCAGCCAAAATGGCCACTTTGTCCAATGTCCATCACATTCCTAGCCCAGATCCCTGAAGTCAGTCGGTGTCACGTGCATTCAGCATGCTAGGTTTATTTATTTAAATATGCGAAGCTCCACCTGTGGGTGCCCTAGGATTGTGCCCCCATGAGTTTTGGGTGCCCAGTTTCATGTTGAGCAGCAGAGGGCGATCTGCTGCACCTTGCCGAGGTCCGTCAGCAGCTGCTTGATGCAATGCTTGAGCTGCGGAAGCCTGGCCAGCGGCTCAGGGGGCTCCAGTTCCCCAGTGTAGTCCAGCCAGCTCTCCAACACTGTCGGCAGAAGAGAGATGAGACCCAGTGAGCTTCCAACACTTGATTTGCAAGAACATTTCAGCAAGTGTTTCAGCACCTTATTCCATCTAACCATTCATGGGGCAAGGAAGGAAGGGCCATTTCAGCCAACATTGTGTCAATACCTGCTCTACAAAGTGGTACTCCCAGGACAAAAAATGCTTCAGAGCAGCACAGTCCAAAAGAACTTTCTGCGATGATGGAAATGGTCTCAGTCTGTGTCATTCAATACAATAGCCACTAGCCATATGCAGCTATGAGCGATGGAAACATGGCTAGTGCAACTGAGGAACTGAATTTTAAATTTTATTCAATTTTGGTTAGACAGCCACACATTGCCAGAGGCTACTGTTACCAGAGTCTAGAGGTCTTGGAAGGAAGAACCTTTCTCAGTGTTACTACTTAGTCTTTTTGTTTTGTTTTGTTTTGTTTTCCTTCAAGGCTGAAAATCAAAAAAAAAAATTTTTTTTTTGAGACAAGTCTCACTCTGACGCCCAGGCAGGAGTGCAGTGAAACGATCTTGGCTCACTATAACCTCGGCCTCCTGGGTTCAAGCGATTCTCCTGCCTCAGCCTCCCGAGTAGCTGGGATTACAGGTGTGTGCCACCACGCCCAGCTAATTTTTCTATCTTTGGTAGAGATGGGGTTTCACCATGTTGGTCAGGCAGGTCTTGAACTCCTGACCTCATGATCCACCCGCCTTGGCCTCCCAAAGTGCTGGGATTACAGGCGTGAACCACCACACCTGGCCCTCCATTTACTGTTTAAAAAGCTTTCCCATGCTGAAAATCAGAGAACTTAGTGTTTTAGCATCCTGTCAAGAAAAATGAAAATCTACAGGGTCTTGAAAAGGGCTATTTGTATCATCTTAAACTCTGATTTGCTTCATATTAATTCCTGATTGACACACAATCATCAGTGCCACAGAATACTCTGATATTATTTTCTCCTTTTTTTTTGAGATGGAGTCTTGGTGTATCACCCAGGCTGGAGGGCAGTGGTGTTATCTCAGTTCACTGCAACCTCTGCCTCCTGGGTTCAAGCAATTTTCCTTCCTCAGCCTCCTAAGTAGCTGGGATTACAGGCATGTGCCACCACCATGCCCAGCTAATTTTTATATTTTTAGTAGAGACAGGGTTTTGCCATGTTGGCCTGGCTGGTCTCAAACTCCTGACCTCAGGTGATCCACCCACCTCAGCCCCAAAGTGCTAGGATTACAGGCGTGAGCCACTGGGCCCAGCCTTTTGTGTGTGTGTGTGATGGAGTTTCACTCTTGTTGCCCAGGCTGGAGTGCACTGGTGCAATCTCGGCTCACTGCACCTCTGCTTCCCAGGTTCAGGAGATTCTCCTGCCTCAGCCTCCTGAGGAGCTGGGATTACAGGTGCATGCCACCACGCCTGGCTATTTTTTGCATTTTTAGTAGAAATGGGGTTTTGCCATGTTGGTCAGGCTGGTTTCGAACTCCTGACCTCAGGTGATCCGCCCGCCTCGGCCTCTCAAAGTGCTGGGATAACAGGCGAGAACCACCATGCCTGGCCCCCTATAAATATTTAATGTAAGATGTCTGAGTACTAATTAACATTATCATAATTGATTCAATATCTAGAAAGCTGTCTTACTTATGAGAACAAGTATTTATCTACAGAAAGATGTTTGTTCTTCCCCAAAGTACCCCCTAAAGCTCCGGCATTTGGGGAGAGACCATCTGGGAACCCTGTACCTTTGACAAAAACCACCCCCTGCAGGTAGCTCCAGTGCTTTCCCAGCCTGCCTGCAGCCTTTCTAGTCCATACACCAACCTGCACTGAGCACCTTCTGGACCCCGGAGCGCAGCAAAAGGAAGCACCTCTTCCTCAAGCAGCCTGCAGCCTACCACAGAATCTCTTCTGTCCTCAGACTCAGCCCTACCTTCCTCTCCACCTTTCTAAATCCTCTGTTTCCTGTGAGATATTCTTTAGGGAAGCCTTCCCCAACCCTATACCCTGAATCTGGTCCTTGTGTTACAGGTGCTCTGGTATCACATGTTCTCCTTTGAGCATTTCATGGTTTGTAATTACAGGTAATGGGATGATTTGATTAATGTCTGTCTCTCCCACTGGATCAAGTTCCATGAGAGCAAAGGCTGAGTTTGCCTTGCTTGCCATTATGTCCCTAACACTCAGCTGTGCCTGAAACATGGCAAGCCTCCAACAAACACAGCGAGAGAGGGCATGTGTAGTACAGCAAAGTGCCCCACCCAATGCTCTGGGCCCTGTGTAGCTTACCCTCCTCCATCCTATTTCTTGTTGGAATTTGGGGGTTCCAAGAAGGAGGAACCCTCTCTCTTCCTGATTCCAGCAAGTACAAGGACTTGGAAATAAGAAAAATAAGACTGCCTCCTCAGACTTAAGCTTGAATACCAAGAATAAAGGATTAGTCACATGAGAGGATCTAGTGGCCTCCTGAGAGGATCTAGTGGCCTCCTGAGCAAGAAAACTGGATAGTGACCAGTTTCAAAACACCAGTAAGTCTTAAAAAAACAAACAAACAAACAAACAAACAAAAAACTAGGAGACGGAGGACTGCTCAGCAAACAGACACAAGAATAAATAGGGAGGCTGGGCACAGTGGTTCACGCCTGTAATGCCAGCACTTTGGGAGGCTGAGGCAGGTGGATCACCTAAGGTCAGGAATTCAAGACCAGCCTGGCCAACATGGTGAAACCTTGACTCTATGAAAAATACAAAATTAGCCAGGTGTGGTGGCGCGTGCCTGTAGTCCCAGCTACTTGGGAGGCTGAGGCAGGAAGAATCGCTTAAATATGGAAGGTAGAGGCTGCAGTGAGCCAAGATTGCACCACTACAGCCTGGGTGAGACAGAGCAAGACTCCATCTCAAAAAAAAAAAAAGGGATAAATGGAGAAAAGGCAGTCAGGACTGGATGGGTTAGTCCAACAGCAGAGAGAGAGAGTCAATCTTTTGCAAGATGATCCTACAGTTGCTGAGAGGCCCCTCTTAAGATCACCCTAACCACCTTGGATCTGGTTCCAGGCTCACCAAAGACACCCCAATACTACAGTGGCCCAGGAGGCATGCACAGTGCACCAACACTCAGGCTGAAAGAGTCTAAGCCACTCAGTATCTCTGAGCTTGGTTAACAGGAGTGTGTGGAGTTCCTGGTATGGAAGCTGTCTGTCTAGGTCTGCTAGGCTGGAGAGCAGAGCCAGGACTGTGGGAGGTCAACAGCAATTCCTCTGGACCCCAGCATCCAGCAGGCCAGCCTCTCCACACCACATGCTGCACCATCCCAAGTGTCTCTTTTAAAAGTGCAGAATAGCTGGACGTGGTGGCCAATGCCTGTAATCCCAGCACTTTGGGAGGCCGAGGCGGGCAGATCATGAGGTCAGGAATTTGAGGCCAGACTGGCCAAAATAGTAAATCCCCATCTCTACTAAAAAATACAAAAAATCAGCTGGGTATGGTGGTGTGCACCTGTAATCCCAGCTATTTGGGAGGCGGACTTTAGTAGAGATGGGGTTTCTCTGTGTTGGTCAGGCTGGTCTCAAACTCCTGACCTCAGGTGATCCGCCCGCCTTGGCCTCCCAAAGTGCCAGGATTACAGGTGTGAGCCACCACGTCTGGCCCAGCTTTTTTTTTTAAAGAAATGGGGTGTTGCTCTGTCACCCAGACTGGAGTATGGTGACATGATCATAGCTCACTGTAACACTGAACTCCTGGCCTCAAGTGAACCTCTTGCCTTGGCCTCCCAAAGTGCTGGGATTACAAGTATGAGATACCACGCCAAGCTTCTAAATTTGTTGAGACTGAGTCTTGCTGTGTTAGCTAGGCTGGAGTGCAGTGGTGTGATCTCAGCTCACTGCAACCTCGGCCTTCTAGGTTCAAGTGATTCTCCTGCTTCAGCCTCCCAAGTAGCTGGGATTACAAGCGCATACCACCAAGCCTGGCTAACCAGGCCAGTTTTATAAAAAAGGAATGTTACATCCAAATTCCTATTTTGGTTATGAAAACTCAGTTTATCTTGGTCTTTTAAATAAAGAGTTGATTCCCTAAAAAGGGATTCTGATGAATCTTAAATACTATGCAAAACTCTGTTTATCTAAATAAAATCTTTAAGCTTTATCATTTATTTTAATGCTTCCTTGGTAACTCTCTCAGGTCCTAGAGTCTTAGAAATGTACAGAATATGTGACCCTGAATCAGTGAGACACACATGAGGTCCTCTGTGAGGCCAGCATCCTTGCCACACTGCCTATTCGGCACGTGCAGGGCTAGAGAGGCCGAACCTGGCAGAAGAGGATTGAGAGAAGGCTTTAACTTCTCCCCTAAGGGAAGGTACCTGTGGCAATAAGCAAACATTCACCCTGTTTCCATGGTGCTAATCCTCTTTTCAGGGACTCAGAGCCACTCCCACTGCCATTCTCTAAAGAGCTACACTTTTTGTCCAGCATTATATCCTCCCTCAGCCCTCTAATAGCATGTTTTTCACAGACAGTGGCATCGGTTACTATTCCCTTTTTTTTAGTTTATTTTTTTAGAGTCAGGTTCTGTATGACACAGGCTGGAGTGCAGTAGCATAATTACAGCTCACTGCGGCCTCCAACTCCTGGGCTCAAGTAGTCCTCCCACCTCAGCCTCCCAAGTAGCTGGGATTATACTCCTACACGTAGCTAATTTTTAATTTTTTTTGTAGAGACTATGATGCCCAGGCTGGCCTCAAGCAATCCTCCCACCTCGACCTTCCAAAGTACTGGGATTACAGGTGTGGGCAACCACACCTAGCCTAGAGACAGGTCTTGCTGTCTCTCTCACTGTCCTCCAATGTGACAACCCTTTTTCCATTCAAGCTAGATCATCCACCCTGAGTCCTCTCCAGTAGGAAACACCATCACTCTCCTTAAGTCTCCGCTTCAGTCCCACTTTTAGGAAGCCCTCCTGTTAGCACTCTCATTCCCCGGCATAGCCTCTGCCACATGTGTCCTAGCCACACCTCATGGCCCTCACTTGTATAGCATATGTCATTTTCTCCTGAGTTATTTCAAGTATGCTTTATGTCCCCAGTTACAGTAAAAAAAAATCATAGCCTGACTGTACCCAGAATCCTCAAACAACATTTCTTTCTTAACTGGGCTCCATTTTTAATATGAAAGCAAATAATTAGGAAATATTTCAACAACCAAAACCGTCAACTTCCTGGAAGTCAAAAGATACTGAACCTGGTCATGCTCAACGTCACAGGTTTGATCCTCCAGGCCTGTCTATGACCACCAGTGTCTGGGAGGAATACCCAGGGCTACACAAATGACTCAGGCAAATTCTCAAATCTCTACTGGCTTAAGAGAAGAAAGCTTCATCTTAGATTTTATCAAAGATTGAAACAAAAGGTTTTTCAGATTAAATCCTTGGATACCCTAAAACTCAAGTCAGAATTTTAATTTCTCACAGAACTTGTTTGTAAAGATTTTGCTTAGATCACACGTTTCCTGCAAGCAAGACTGCCCACTGCCCTCTCTCTGCATAGTCAACTTTACAGAAGGGATCAGACAAGTGAGGCAGGAACCCAACATCATGTAGATCTTGTAAGTGCTTGATAAAAACTCAAAGTAAGGCTCACCCGTCCTGAGAGGAGAACGGAGGTGGGGAGAGGCTGAAAAGAAGGGAAGCAAAGAATACAGCGGTCTCTGGAAACTCAGATTGGGGGGTTCAGAAAGCAACTCGTCTGGGGGTGCTCAGAGTGCATGCCAATGCACAGGAGGCCAAGGAAGGAGCCCTACCGTCCAGCTCCTTCTCAATGGAGTCCATCCTGTGTGTGACTTCATCCTGAAGAGATTCCACGTGGGTCAGCAGGTTAAACTGCCACTGGTGCTGGGAGCTCAGCAGCCCCTCTCCGCCTCTGTCCAGCAGCTTCCGAGCAGGGGCTTCTTCTGGTAGGGCCTTTTTGGAGACATATTCCTTCACCTGGGGATGCAATGCCATGGAAGTTACTGCATGGAGACAGCCCCTGGCCTGTTTCTCAACCAGCCAGCATTTGCAGCCATCTGAAATATCAGCTGCAGTTTCATACTCCAAATCCCTACCTCCCTTTCCTATTTTCCAGTTAGGAACTGGGCAGAAACTTGCCCACTGTACCAATCCCAACTCCCTCAAGGTGGCGCACTGTAGCTCAGGGGACCCACAGCTGCTTCCTACTGACTGGGCCAATGTCCTAGCCTAACCTAGGCCTCACAGAATGGCTTCCAGATCCCTGAGACCTGATTAGAGCAGGGCTAATGCACACAAGGGTTAGTACATAGGAGTCACACCAATGAGTTTTAACTCTCAGCTCAGTCTCCTGCTGAATATGCGAATGGATGGACTACTTCACTTCTTTGAGCCTCTGCTCTCTCGGTAGGAAGATGGAGGTAATCAAACCTATTTTGGAAGGTTCATGAGGATGAAATAGGATAAGGCACATAAAAGCAAGGCCAGCATACGGTCAGCTTACCATATGGAAGAGACTGTTAACCTTGGTTACATTACTGAAGCCCAGTATTTCCTGACTTTGTATTGTGTACCAGATACCTCTAGGAAACCTGCCTGATCCACCGGACCGCAAATTTTTTCTAGGGTTTGGTATCTCAACCTTTCATTTATCTGTTTGAAATGAAATAGATTCTAGCTAATATGTATTTCGTACTTACTATGTGCAAATCAGTGTGCTGAGGGATTTTCACAAATACATTCCACAGTAACTGAGGGGGCTTCACTGGCCCCATTCTATAGGCTAGAAAACAGGTCTGGTCAGGAATATGAAGTAACCCACGCAGAATAACACAGTAAGGGGCTGAGCCCAGAACAGAAACTGGGTCTGTCTCAAAAGACTGTGTCCTTACTACCTTGCCCAATACTGTTTGGACACAGTCAGGGGCACAAGGATGAATGAGGTACAATCCCCTCCCTTGAGGGGCTTGTCATCTAGGATCCCCTCTCGGCACTATGCAGCAATGCATTTAACGCTGGGGACACCAACCTGCAGGAGAAAGTCTGGGAAGTAAGGACAACGAGGTAGAGAAGCTCTCAAATCACACAAAGCCTCACTGACAAGTGAGGACAGGGCACAATGAGCCTAGTGAGCAGTTAGGAAGACTCCGGGCAATGAGGTGACACACGTTCCAGAAGAGAATGACTTGAAAAACAAAAAGCGGAAGTGGCTCTTGGGAAAACTGATGAAACCAGCAATATTTTGACAAAGTGTACCATTTTTACCACAGGGCTTCAAAGTTAAAAGTCAAAATAAAGCTATCATAAAACTCGACAGAAAAAATTCTGCCTAACAAAACATTTGACTCATTGTTTGCCCATGCTAATTAGCACCTAGGTGCAATTATAATACAAACTGCCTTAAAGAAAAGATGAGTTTTCCTAACCCATTTCTCTTTGCTACTTCCCACTTCTCCCACCCTTCACACCCACCCCCCTCCCCGACCTACCACAATGGCTATGCCATTTTGTGGGTGCTTCCTGGAACCCATGATCTTTGGCTTAAGTGGGCTTTCCTGACTTTGCACCCATGCTGGCAAACCAAAAACTACATCCAGGTGTGGTGGCCCATGCCTGTAATCCCAGCACTTTGTGAGCCCAAGGCAGGCAGATCACAAGGTCAGGAGTTCAAGACCAGCCTGACCAACATGGTGAACCCCTGTCTCTATTAAAAGTACAAAAATTAGCTGGGCATGGTGCCTGTAATCCCAGCTGCTCATGAGGCTGAGGCAGGAGAATCGCTTGAACCTGGGAGTTGGAGGTTGCAGTGAGCTGAGATTATGCTATTGCACTCCAGCCTGGGTGACAAAGCAAGACTCCGTCTCAAAAAAAAAAAAAAAAAAACCTATGGTAAGCAAATTTAAATACAGTTTTATTAATAAATATCTCCAATAGGACATTCAAACCTAGAAGTAGAACTTCTAAGCACTCACGCAATGAATGAAGAACAAGTACAAGCCAGCCACATACCTTTGGGGAGCTGGGTTTGGGATCACTGTCCCCCCTGCTCCTGTCTTGGTCTAGAGGCCAGCCCAGGCGCGGGGAGAGGGAATCATCGCCGTTCTCATGGAGGGGGTTAACCGCATCGTCAAGGGCAGAGCCCCTTGTCTCCACCACCAGCTTCTGCTCCACGGCAGGGTAATAGGCGCGGGGCTTCTGGTAGCAGTGCTCACTGGTGATATAGGACTCCTCCACAGAACGCGGCAGGGACAAGGCCAGGGGCCTGGGCTTCTCCACTGCCCCATTCAAAGTTCTATAGCTTGGGGCTTCCTCCTTGCTCCTGGTGTCAGTAATAGGGATGTTTTTGGAATGAGATCTCCCCTCCCCTGAGTGCTGTTTCCAAGGCTGGCACCACAGCTGCAGATCAGGATGCTCCCGGCTTCTGTTGAGAGGACAAAGAGGGCATGGGTTTTGGAGGAACTGGCACCACTGCAGGGGTTCTCAATTCCTAAACACTCTCCCAGTAGGAACAGCAGTTCCCACGTGGGCTATCTGACCACACACTACCATTTGCTTAACAAGAGGGAATGCGAATCCTTGGTCTCCTAGGAGACCACTCCTTAGTGAGCTCCCACTGTGGTCACAAGCAGTAAATGGGACTGGACTCTTAGTCGGAAGACCTGACTGAATTTCAACTCTGGGACAGCTCACCAACCAGCCTCATTCCTACTTCCTCCTCTGTGAAGCTGGGCTAATTATCTGTCTGATCTGCCTGCTACTGTGAGGTTGTGGTGAGCTGAGATCACACCACTGCACTCCAGTCTGGGTGACTGAATGAGACTCTGTTTCAACAACAACAAAAAGCCAACAGACCGCAATAAGAGTCACGTGTGTTTATCATAGCTTACATCAAGTTGGGTCATCTGACATACAGAAGACAACCACAGGAGGAAATTTACACTGAATTTCACTCTCTGGCCACTAAAAGCCAGAAGTCCAACTCCAAAAGGTTAAAAACTTTTCTGTATGAGCAAACCACCAAGAAAGATTTTTATTGAGCAACCACTGTGCTAGAGAATAGGCCTGCCAACAATATCTGTTCCAGCAGCTTTCAATTTTACTTTGTTTACCAATCAAGAATGTTTAGAATGAGCTGAGGCAAGGCTGGGCATGGTGGCTCATGCCTGTAATCCCAGCAGTTAGAGAGGTCAAGACGAGCAGATCACTTGAGGTCACCTGGCCCACATGGTGAAACCCCGTTTCTACTAAAAATACAAAAATTAGCTGGGCATTGTGGCAGGCAGTTGTAATCTCAGCTACTTGGGAGGCTGAGGCAGGAGAATTGCATGAACCCAGGAGGTGAAGGCTGCAGTGAGCTGAGATCATGCCACTGCACTTCAGCCTGGGTAACAGAGCCTGTTCTGCCTCCAAAAAAAAAACAGCTGAGTTGCTTGAGCCCAAGAGTTTAAAGCAGCAGTGCGTGATGATCCTGCCTATAAGTAGCCACTGCATTCCAGCCTGGGCAACAAAGCAAAACCGCATCTCTTTTTCTTTAAAAAGAAAAGGAATATTTAGCATGAAAGGGATAAACAAGGCTGGGTGTGGTGGCTTACATCTATAATCCCAGCAGTTTGGGAGGTGGGCGAATTGCCTGAGCTCAGGAGTTCACGACCAGCCTGGACAACACGGTGAAATCCCATCTCTACCAAAATACAAAAATTAGCCAAGTATAGTGGCATGCACCTGTAGTCACAGCTACTTGGGAAGCTGAGGCAGGAGAATTGCTTGAACCCAGGGGGCAGAGGTTGCAGTGAGCCAAGATGGTGCCACTGTACTCCAGCCTGGGCAACAGAGTGAGACTCTGTCTCCAAAAAAAGAAAAATGGGATAAACAAAATGTGGCATACACATAAAAGGAGTATTATTCAGCCTTAAAAAGGGAGGGAAATATAAAAAGTTAGCCAGGCATGGTGGCATACACCTGTAGTCCCAACAACTCGGGAGGCTGAAGTGAATCCAGAAGGCAGAAGCTGCAGTGAGCCGAGATTTCAACACTGCACTCCAGTCTGGGCTACAGAGTGAGACTCTGCCTCCAAACAAACAAACAAACAAACAAAAAAAAACCTCAGAACTGTACACCCAAACAAAAACCAAACCGAAATAGACACACCATATTTTGATTCTGGTGGTGGCTACACGGCTGCATACAATATCAAAATTCAATGAACTCTTAAAATGGATGAACTTAATTATATGTAAGATATTACTCAATAAAAAAAATTTTTTAAAGAATGTTTATCATGTAACTGGTACTTTTTAGTAAAGGTCTCAAATTCAGTTTTATGGTTGCTTTGGTAGCTTTCCAATTTCTCAGATTTACCCAACTCCCAGCCCGGGCCAAACCAGCATGCTCCCGCAGGTGCCGCACTTACTGCAAGATGCTCATCTTGAGCTGCAGGCCGTGCAGAACCTCAATCACTCTCTGCACATCACCAAGAAGCTGGTGGGTGGCCACGATCTTCTTGGCATTTTGATGGGAGTAGTTCTCTTCTAGAAATGCCAGGCCATGCATATGTCCCCTGCTCAGCCACTCCTTGTCATACCAGTACTTGAAGCCAGGCCTCTGACCTGCAGCAGTGACAAGAGGGTTAAAACATGGCCTGAAGGAAACCCAGGCCGTTTCATCACTATCACACAATTATCACACAAACTAGTGGAAGAATAGATTAGTATATTCATTTTGCTCATTTATTCATCCGGTGTACACTTTCTTGGCACCTATAACATGCTGGGCTATTAGGTAATGGGGATAAGGTAGTAAATGAGGCATGTATACTTCCTGATTTCCTGGAATGGCCAGAGGTGACCCAGGCACCTGAATTATCTCTAAATTTAAATCAGATCATTCTCTCCCCGACTTAAAACCTTCCACTGCCTCCTGCTGCTCTCAGGAGAATACCCAAAGCCCTAACTCTCTAACTCTGGCTTACTGAGGCCCACAGGACCCAGTTCCTTCCTGCCTTCCTCTCCACACCCTTACACTGGCCTCCTTTCAGTTTCTGAAACACATCAAACTCTTTCCAGCCTCAAGACCCTCACTTGAGCGTCCCCTCTGTCTGCAGCACTATTCCTCAAGCCTTTGCAGGGTTGGCTCCTTACTACCTCCTCAGAGAGGCTTTTTTTTTTCTTTTTCTCTGACAGGGTCTCACTCTGTTGCCCAGGCTGGGGTGCAGTGGCATGTTCATGGCTCACTGCAGCCTCAACATCCCTGGGCTCAGGTAATCCTCCCACCTTAGCCTCCCAAGTAGCTGGGCCCTGGCTAATTTTTCTTTCTTTTTTTTTTTTTTGGTAGAGATGGGGTTTTGCCGTGTTGCCCAGACTGGAGAGGGGCCTTCTGCTGCTTCCCAAAGTTGACAGCATCATCAGTACCTCATAATCATCTTACTGATTTTCCCGTCACAGTATTCATCACTACCTAACACAGTCTTATTTATTTAACTTGTTTTAACTTCTGTTTCTGGCCCCCAACCCGGCTAAGAGCTGAAAGAGTAGAAACTATCTTGTTCATGGTTGTATCCCCAGTGCCTGGTGAAAGGCATCTTTAATGGACTTATCAAATGAATGGAAAGATGCCTCAAGTCCCCCTGCAAATGTACACCTACCACCTAACTAAACAGATGATCAGGCCCCTTCCCCTCTCTGGACCAGTTACCCATCCATTAGAACAACATAGGAACTGGATGGCTTCAGCTGTCCTATTCAGTACAGGGCTCCTTAGGAAGGACTGAAAACATAAGCACATGTGACGTGTCAACACGAACTCCTGAATCCCAGGGAGAAGCTTTCAACCAGACTGCAGTTCGACTGTCAATATCTATGCAAACCCTGAAAAACTCAGGTGATTCCTATTAAGGTCTTTGGGTTCTTTCTGCCTTTACTAATACACATGGTGGGGATTCACCTTGATTCTGTTAAAAATATCTTTAAGTAACCTTTAAAAAACGAATCTGTTAAACTTTTAGTCCAATCCACTACAGAGTCAGTCTATAAATGCAGACCCTGTGGTAGACATGCCATGCTCAGTTCAAGGAAGACTCTATTCACAATCTCGGCGATTAAAGTCATATAAGTTCAGTTAGTGCACAGGATTTGATGAAGATGGTGTGTGTGACTTCTAAAGAGGGAAAAGTAGAGAGAAAGACATGGTAGGAAAAAAAGATTTGTAAAAGGTATGCTAAGGAACCTTCAGGATTATATGGGAGAATCTCAGAGGCAGCTGCTGCAGGCAGTGCCTAGAGCAGCAGGATTCAGAGCTGCACTATCTTGTTTTACAAGACAAAGGTATGAAACAACTGGTTCTCATCACCTGTATGGCATTAGCTGGTGGTGTGATATTGGGCCAGGCATGTCCCTTCAGGACCTGTGTTTGTTTACCTCTTGAATCTTCTGACTATATTCTTTCCTTGGGATAAAGGGACAAGTGAAGCCAGATGCTTTTCAGTCTATGGACTCATCTAGTACAAGGAGAGTGTCACAACAGAGGTCCTTAGGCCCAGAGGGGACCTGTTTGCTGTTAAATCAACTGGTGGTCAGTCCCTCCCTAGACAACCAACAAAATCAAGAGATCTGGCTCTGCAAACCAGTTCTAATTCCAATTTGCCTTATGAGGTTAGGAAAGTCAACTGTATCCTCAAGGATCAATTTCTTCCTCACAAGCAAAAACGGGAGTAGAAGCAGCAGGTCCACCTCATCGGACAGAAAGGAATAACAGAAGCAGAGGCTCTCAAGCATTGTCTAGCTCTAAAGGAATCAAGGGACTAGAGCTGAGGGAGAGGCCTTACAGTTGGTGATGGGAGACAATGTCACCATCCCATGGAAAGCAAGACAATGAACTGCACATTTACAATGCACCCCTTCTGGAAAGGAGCAGCCAAGAGCCACAGGTGACCCCTATAGCCATGGAACTAACTGATCCTGCTAAGGAATTAAGTCACTGCTTAGGGTAGCAACAGGCTCTGCCCAACCATGCCTTCTTCTTTCCCCTCAAAGGCATAGCTCCCTTCAGGATAACAGTGATGTGACAAAGGGCAGACATTGCCACAGGGGGCAGAGGTAGGTTTCTAATCCTCCAAAAGCCCCCAAAAGCCAAAGACAGAGCCCATATGCCCATCCTTATGAGTCCTCAAGAAAAGGAAAAGGTGCCACTTCAGCAGCACATACAGTGAAACAGGAACAATACAGAGAAGATTAGCATGGTCTCTACACAAGGATGACACTCAAACTTATGAAGTTTCTACATATTTTTATAGAGCTTCAATCACACAGGGTGAAAGTTCTAGAGATCTGCTGTACAACATCATGCTTACAGTTGTTAATAACAATACTGTAGTGCACACTTAAAAATTGTTGAGAGTAGAACTCATGTATTTTTTTTTTTTAAGACAGAGTTTCACTCTTGTCGCCCAGGCTGGAGTGCAATGGCGCAATCTTGGCTCACTGCAACTTCTGCCTTCCAGGTTCAACCGATTCTCCTGCTTCAGCCTCCTGAGGAGCTGGGATTACCAGTGCCTGCCACCATGCCCAGCTAATTTTTGTATTTTTAGTAGAGACAGGGTTTCACCCCACTAGCCAGGCTGGTCTCAAACTCCTGACCTCAGGTGATCCACCTGCCTTGGCCTCCCAAAGTGCTGGAATTACAGGCATGAGCCATTGCGCCTGGCCTCATGCATTTTTTTTTTAAACCATAAAGAGAAGGAAAAGTTCTAACTCAAGGTCAGGCCTTCCACTAGGTGGGCCCCTTCACACATGTGCTCTTATTGCTAAGTTCAGGACAGCTGTCCACCAGGTGGGATAGCATCAGAGGTGAGGAGTTGGAGTCTAGCCGATGCTGAAGAAATGAGTCTTAAGACCACAGACATTTAGAATGTGTCACAGCCAGCTGTGCCAAGGAAACGGCTACATACTGTTATATCCCTGACTCCAGAATCTCTACCTGGAGGGTCTTGGCAAACATAACAGGTGTATTTCTCGGGCACATTTTCTTCCAGTAATCCCATGCAGACCCCATGCTGCCAGCACTGGCACTCTTCACACTGTTAGAATTAAAGAAGCAACAAAAATTAAACTCAGAAGGTGTTCTCCAACCAAAAGTAAGACCCACCTGCTGAGGGGAGGGGCATGGGAGGATAGGAGAGGGGAGGAAGGAGCACTCCCTCCTGACTAACATGGAACTGAGCTGCTGCCACACATCTGGAACCGCACTGTCTAACATGGTAGCCACTAGCCACATGTGGCTCTACACTGAAATTAACAAGTTAAGCTAACAATTCAGTTCCTCAGTCCCACTAGTGACATCTTAAAGCTGAGTTTGAATTATGGCTCAGACACTCATTAGCTGCATGACTTTGCACAGGTCACTTCTCCTGGGCTTTACTTTCCCCATCTGCAAAATGGGATATAATTCCTACCCTCCTCCTGGGGCTGCTTGTGAAGATTCAATGGGTGATATATAAAAGCTCCTATTATAGAGTCCAGCACACAGCTTTATGTATTAAGCTACTATTGATACTATTAACCACTAACGAACAAGCCAATTCACTAAGACCCCTCCTCGAGTAATCACGGTCAGTACTTTGCATTTATTCTCTCTAAACTTTACCAAAGATCACACAGCTAACGAAAGGCAAAGGCAGATCAGAATATAAGCCTGGCTAGTTGCTAAGCCAGTTCTTTCAACCCCTAGGCGCTACTTCCTTCCCTGAGTATTGAGGCGACAGGTGGGAAATGGCCAGAAGGCAGAGGGGGAAAAGAAGGAGTTGACAATGAGGGTAGCACTGGGAGACCTGTGGACAGCCTGAGGATAGTAGGTCTGAGAGCTAAGGGTCCAGAGGAGGGAATGAAAAGCAAAGGCAGACTCCCATGGAGATACTAGGGCACTTCAAGCAATTCCAAACCAGGGCCCTAAACCTTTAACTACCCAACCAAACATATTAGCCCTAGAAGGTGGACAATGAGATTCCTGACATGACTTTGATGGTGGCCCACCAGCCTGGCCACAAGGGACTAGAAATCCAGAGCTCAGATGGTCCTCAACCACTGGGAGTAACATAGGTCCCAGCCTCAAGAGGGCTTCCCTGAGCAGATATAAGGTCTCTAGGAAGCTAATCACATCAGAATCAATATGGGCAGGAAAGATAGGCTTTAGATATCCGCTTTAGATTCTTCGATTTACAGACGAGGAAACTAAGGCTCAGAGAAGAAGTGTAAAGTGATAAAAAGGCAGTCAGTAGCAGAAAACAAACTAATAATTTTAAAAAGTCTGTCTTACCAATGACTTTGTATTTTGAAAACCAGGATTCACCAAAAATGAATCAAATACAGCTCAGTTTCAAAATAACTTTTTTTTCTTTCTTTTTACTTTTATTTTTTGAGACAGAGTCTCGCTCTGTCACCCAGGCTGGAGTGCAGTGGCGGAATTTTGGTTCACTGCAACGTCCGCCTCCCAGTTCAAGCGATTCTCCTGCCTCAGCCTCCCAAGTAGCTGGGACTACAGGTGTGTGCCACCATACCCAGCTAATTTTTGGGGTTTCACTGTGTTAGCCAGGATGGTCTTGATCTCCTGATCTTGTGATCTGCCCACCTTGGCACCCCAAAGTGTTGGGATTACAGGTGTGAACCACTGCGCAGAGCCAATGAAAACTTTTTTCATGTGGGTGTGGCTAAAATACATTATTCCTTTAAGTTTAAATTAAGAAATGAATGAGAATAATAAACAAACTAAAAGATAAAATACCTAAATATAAACATATGCATGTAAGGCCTCTCTGAAAAAAAAATGTAAATACTATTTGAAGAACACAGACTTAAGTCAATGGTACAGTACACCCTATTTCTGGACACCAAGAGTTAACATATGGATATCAATTATCCTCGGGTTAATTTATAAAAAGAATGTAGTTCCGGCCAGGTACAGTGGCTCATGCCTGTAATCCCAGCACTCTGGGAGGCCATAGCGGGTAGATCACTTGAGGTCAGAAGTTCAAGACCAGCCTGGCCAACAGGGTGAAATCCCATCTCCACTAAAAATACAAATATTAGGGAGGTGTGGTGGCAGGCATCTATAATCCCAGCTACTCAGGAGGCTGAGGCAGGTTCAGAGTCGCTTAAACCTGGGAGGTGGAGGTTACACTGAGCTGAGACTGCACTACTGCACTCCAGCCTGGGTGACAGAGCAAGACTCCATCTCAAGGGAAAACAAAACAAAACCTAGTCTCACTAAAATAAGAAATTAATAGCTTTGGAACTAGAAAAGATTCTAAAATTAACAGCCAGGAAATGTGTGGAAAAGAAAGAGCAATATGGAGATACTAGCCCTACCAGATATTTTAAAATTATAAAAATTATAAAGATACAATAATTAAAATAGAATTGTACAAGCAAATATATAGACAGATGAATCGATGGAAGAGAGAACCAGAAAAAGATTCAAATACATTTAGAAATGAAGTAAATAAAGGTGGCATTTCAGTGAGGCATGGTATTAGTACAATGGAGAGCCATAGTCCTCACTATATACCTGGCAAAATTGCAGGTGGATCAAGTATTTATATAGCTTTAAAAAAATGGGCTGGGCATGGTGGCTCTCGCCTATAGTCCCAGCACTTCAGGAGGCCAAGGTGGACAGATCTCCTAAAGTCATGAGTTAGTGGCCTGAGGTCAGCTTGGCCAACATGGTGAGACCCCACCTTTACTAAAAATACAAAAAATTAGCTGGGCATGGCGGTGCACACCTACAGTCCCAGCTACTCGGGAAGCTGAGACAGGAGAATTGCTTGAACCCAGAAGAGGGAGGTTGCAGTGAGCTGAGATAGCACCACTCAACTCCAACCTGGGTGACGGAGCGAGGTTCCATCAAAAATAAATAAATAGGCTGGGTGCGGTGGCGCACGCCTGTAATCCAAGCACTTTGGAGACCAAGGTGGGCGGATCACCTGAGGTCGAGAGTTCAAGACCAGCCTGACCAAAATGGTGAAACACCGTCTTTAAATAAATAAATAAATAAATAAAAACAAAGCATGATCCAACCATTATACAGAAAATAAAATGGTTTTTAACTTACATATTGCTAAATGAAAAAAGATGTTGAAAATACTATACATAAAATGTAATTGCATCTCGACAAAAAAGAGATGGTTGCAAAGCACTGTGAATGTACTTAATATCACTGACTTGTATGCTTAAAAATGGTTATAATGGTAACTTTTCGGCAGGGCAGGGTGGCTCACGCTTGTAATACCAGTGCTTTGGGAGGCTGAGAAGAAGGATCATTTGAGGCCAGGAGTTTGAGACCAGCCTGAGAAACATACAAAAAGTTAAAGAAATTAGCAGGGTGTGATGGTGTGTGCATGTAGACCCAGCTACTCAGGAGGCTAAGGTGGCCTTGAGCCCAGGAGCTGGAGGCCGCCATGAGCTGTGATTGTGCCACTGTCCTCCAGTCTGGGTGACAAAGCAAGATTCTGTCTCAAAAAAGAAAAAAAAATAAAACAAAAAGGGTAACTTCTTTTTTTTTTTTTGAGACAAGAGTTTCACTCTTGTTGCCAAGGCTGGAGTACAATGGTGCGATGTCGGCTCACCGCAACCTCCACCTCCTGCGTTCACGCGATTCTCCTGCCTCAGCCTCCCAAGTAGGTGGGATTACAGGCATGTGCCACCACACCCTGCTAATTTTGTATTTTTATTAGAGACGGGCTTTTTGCTTGTTGGTCAGGCTGGTCTCGAACTCTCAACCTCAGGTGATCCACGCATCCTGGCCTCCCAAAGTGCTAGGATTACAGGCGTGAGCCACCATGCTAGGCCTAAAAAGGGTAGCTTTTACTGTTATGTGTATTTTACCAAAAAATTTTTAAAAGGAGAAAATACATTTCCTATTGTGTATTTAGCCAAAGAATGTTTTTGGAAGGATATATAATAAACTGATAAGGGCTGACTCTAGGGAATGGGTAGCTGGTGATAAGGTGGGGATAAAGTATTTCTCTGTGTGCATTTTGGACTTTGAATTATGTGAGTGCATTAGCTAGCAACAAATAATATAAATTTTAAAATAACCAAAACTTCAAAATGGGATTCTCTTTTAAAAATTTTATTTACTTATTTTTTATTTAATTTCTTATAGAAACCACATGTCTTTATGTTGCCCAGACTGGTTTTGAACTCCTGGACTCATGCGATCCTCCCACCTCAGCCTTCCCAAGTGCTAGGATTGCAGGTGTGACCCACAGTGCTAGGTCACTGAAATGGGGTTCTTTTTAAAACTGCTACATAATCTTCACTGGAGCTGGGCACTTAATACATATTAATACTTGTTGTTCTAGGGCAAAGGTCAGCAAACAACAGCCCATGTGTCAACTCCAGCTTAACCTGCTTTGTAAATAAAGTATTATGTGAACACAGCCACACTCATTTGTTTAGGGGTGTTTGTTTTTTGAGACAGGGTCTCACTCTATTGCCCAGGCTATAGTTCAGTAGTACGATCTCGTCTCCCTGCAGGCTTGACTGCCCAGGCTCAAGTGATCCACCCATCTCAGGCTCCCGAGAAGCTGGGACTACAAGTGTGCACCATCACAATTAACCAATTTTTGTATTTTTTGTAGAGACAGAGTTTGCCATGTTGCTCAGGATGGTCTTGAACTACTGGCCTAAGCTGAGTTGCCCACCTCAGCCTCCCAAAGTGCTGGTATTATAGGTGTGAGCCACCGCACCCAACCATACAGGTAAAAATTTGTTTTACATATTGCCTACAGCTGCTTGAAGAAGAATCTAGCAGGTGCAACAAGACCATATGGCCCTTAAAACCTAAATATTTATTATCTAGCAATTTAAGAAAAAGCTTAACAAAACTTACTCTACAGCAATTAAAATAATTTAAATATCAAATGTATTTCCTGATGTTCATTTTTATGTGGTACCCAGATTTTTCAAATACCCATGATTGTTAAGTAGGATTTTAACCTTTCAGTGATTTAAATTAGCACAGGTAAGTAAGATCAAATAGTGATATACTTGAACAAATGTTGATACCACTCATATAATGAAA